AAAAAAAAAAGAAAAGGTACCAAGAACCCAAATAATATTATATTCTTTATGAACTTTACAAGATTTTGTAGTTAAATAATTATGAACAAAAAATGATCAAATAAGTTGAACTATATGAAGATAAAAAACTAAATTTATGAAATTAACATTGTTTATTAAATATTTACGTATTTTTGGTTGTGACTATAAAATATGAGATTTGTAGATAGATAAATATAGATAAAATAATTTTTAACAATTAAGTTGGCATAATTTAGAAAGTTTTCCAACAAGAAAACACAGAGGTTTAAGAAATGAACTAATGGCCAGGTCGGTCATCAATATCTTTTAGCTCGGGTAATATTAAATGCACTATTGAATACGAGAATATTTGTCTGTATTTTTTTTACCAAGATTTTTCAGCAGCCTATTACAAGAATTCTCATACTCTATTTATAATAAAGGACTGACAGTTACTATTCACCGAGTCGCTATTAAACATTAAATTAATTTGGGACGCATTTAATGTGATGCTAGGTTCGATAGGCTTGCAAGAATAAGGCGGTGGCGTCTCATTTGTCATCATTTGGGAACATGCGAGACTTATTTTGTTATTTCTGCCTGCATCACATTCAGATCAGCTTCAAATCTCTATTTCTCCCCCGCCAGAATAATGTTTATCGGTCTAATTCATAGTAATGGTCTATCGACCGAGAGTCTGTATTATATCCGTCGATCTGGCATCAAGACAAGTGCGGATTTTATGGTGTCATTTAGCTCGGATACCAACAAAATATTTAATTAAAAAAGTAAAAGAATACATGTTATAATTTCTCAATTGGTATATTGTTACTTTATACCTCTACTAGATATCTGAAATTAGAATGCCCCCTAACTTTCAAAAGTATGTCTAAATAATTTTTCAATAAAAGAAAATTTCATTTCAATTAAATTATCAACCAATTTTACCAAACACGTCATTGACGTATAACATTTAAGCCTGTAAGTAAATAAAATAACAAGCAAAACGCCATCCCAATAGAAATAAACTATTTTACCATAGTCCAAATACACCTTTTAGAGTGGAGTAGATCCACAGCAAGAACAGAAGAAATACATGGAATTTTTCTTTCTTCCTCGCGAATTAGCACAACCACCTCCTTAAACACCGCATCCTGGCTTCAATAGTCCCCAAATTCTTAAACAGATCCAAACCAGGTGAAGATCAAACATATTGATTAGGGTTTCGAGCTTCTTTTTGTTTGCTATTCAATGCGGATCTCACGTTCAGGTCATCTTTTACAGTGTGTGTGATCAGAGGAGAAGAGTTATAGGAAATGTTGACGAAGTTTGAGACGAAGAGTAATCGAGTGAAAGGGTTGAGTTTCCATAGCAAGAGGCCATGGATCCTGGCGAGTCTCCACAGTGGCGTGATCCAGCTCTGGGATTATCGCATGGGCACTCTCATTGATCGGTTTGACGAACACGATGGCCCCGTTCGAGGCGTTCATTTTCATAAATCGCAGCCTCTTTTTGTATCTGGAGGTGTGATTTGTTTGTGGAATGCCTTTTGATTTGTTCATTTGTTTCGGGCTTGATGTTTTCAATTGTGATCTTGGCTTGGTTTTAAGTGATTATGAGAAAATTGGTGGGTTTATAGTGTTTTGCATCGGGATCTGCTGGTTTGTTTTAATTTTTTATGGTTTGATCCGTTAGCCTGCTGGATCAGTGGCGATTGCTGTTTGGATTTGTTGTTTGGCTTTGTGTTAGGGTTGTTCTTGAGTGGGTTTAGTGGTGATAATCTGTTTGGTCTATCTTGAATAGAAAATGCTTGTTTCCATTATGTATTATTATAAATGTGGCTGCTTTCTGACCAGAACTTAGTTAAGCACGTCCATGATTTTATCCATGCATTTATTATAGTTCTGCTATTTAGTTGA